GAAGTGTAATGTGTATATTTAAATAAGAATGGCAACTGGAGTTGGTGTTTCTACCAAAGAAGATTTTAATGTGCTGTTACTCTTAACTGTTAATTAGTATATCTTCTCAACTAATTTGTTAGAGGAGGAAATGCCTTTTGATCATACCTGATCATTTGGACTATTGCAGTAAAAGAAATATAGGGCTTTTTTTTTTTTAAAGTCAAATAATATTTTTCTCTTGCATCTAAATACAAGAAAAAGAACAAGGTAGCAACAATAGTTTTTAAAAATAGCATTTGGTGAGTTTTTCTGGGTCATGGTAGTACATAAGAAAAGAATTCATCAAGGAAGAAAACTTTCTTGATGGCATTCTCCTGTGTATATTTGGTTTTAGGGGTTCCATATAGTTTACACTAAAGTGTTGTGTGTTTGTTTTTTTTTCCCAAATAAATAAAGGGAAAGAAAAGGTGCAACCAAGTCAAATTTCATGAAGCAAACCACTTGATGCTTCCTGTGCTAGGCAGCAGGTGACAATTTCAATTTGCCGACAGATGTGCCAGCTACAAAACCAGTTTACAAACTCAGAGTTACAAAACTGAGTGAAGGGTAGTGTTTTTCAAGTAGAGGGGGAAAAATTGTTTTAGAAAGATAAGCATGCTCATGATATGTGGAGGAGTCGGGTAAGTGACTTTGAATTTAATACTAGAGCTCAGAAGGAGACTCGGGAGTTCTGACACTTTTGTTAATTTCTGATGAGACACAATCTCTAAAGAAAGGAATATGCTGTGCTGAGTATAATACTTATCTCTAAAGAGGAGCATGGCATAAACCAAAATCCCTTGATGATCGGCAGATCTAATTTCTGGTTCTGTTGGAGCCCCAAATCTGAGGCTGCTGGATCATTCTTTCTCTAAGTGGGTGATTTCACTCTCTGTGCTCTTCATTCTCGTGAAGACTGACTTGACTCTCTAATATATTTTATTGCTATTGAGGGGTTGTTACGCAGACAGAAACTCATTAGTTGCAGCTTGTTTTCTGTTAAGTGCATGGTTCCAGTCCTCATTACCACTTGGCTTCCTCCCTCATTTGCTTTCCATTTGGAATGTGTTAGATTTAATATCCACAGTTAAAATTGCTAGACAAAGTACTTCCAATAAGCTGATTGAATGTTTGCGTTCTTGAAACAAAGCTACTCCTAGGGAGAAAGTGTATTTTAGTATTTGGAACACAAAGCTAGAACTTTGTGTTGGAACTTAAATGTTTAAATTATGCTGGATATCTTCGTAGCTAACACTGAGGAAATACAGCTTTTATCATCAGGCTGTCTATATAATTCTGCTGCTTCTTCAGCACGTCTTCCATGTCTTCTCTTTTTTGCCTCGGGCATCTGAACATTGTTCAGTGGCACTAGAACTTATTAAATTCCTAATCTTTTACTTCTGCTTAAAACTTACGAAGTTTAAAATATCTGTTTTCACAGAGGGGAAGGCCAAATTGTGTTGTGTTTTTTTGTGTGTGTGTGTTTGTTGTGCCGTGGGAAAATAAATAATATAGTGCTTTGGCGGTCTGGCTTGGGTATTTCCTGCGAACAGAGTGTGTATCACAGTGGAATTTTTATGTTGTACTGTGTGAGCTTGACTTGTGAAGTGCAGAAGATAGAATGTGACAAGGAGATGAGTCTCCTCGCTGAGTTTGTCTGAAGACGTGAGTGGGTGCAGTGAAGAAGAAACATGAGGTTGCTGTTGACAGTTGAAATCAACCGAGAACTAGGAACTTGAGTTCTGTTTTCTGAGGGTGCTGAAGTAGGGAGGAGGACTGGGAGGGCCAATCGTTCTTAATTGGCATGTTGTCTCAATCACTTTGTGGAGTTTTGGAAGAAGATGAGCTTGGGTGTGTAGACACAAAAATAGACAAGAAAAGAAAAGGCATGAAAGAGAAATTTGGATTGAACATAAATGGGGAGAGTAGTGTAACAGGAAATTAATGGAAGTGTTTTGAGGGCAAAGCAATTGAGAAAGAAGGAGACTTCCCTACCCATGTGCAGTTCATGCTAGTATAGGTATTTTATTCTTCTGAATTTGAGGGATATCTTCTGCAGATTTGATCTTGGGTTATGGATGGCGTACTTAAACAATCTGCCTCATTCAGTTCCTCCAAAAGGAAATGTGAACATCCAGAAAACCTGACTGCCAGTCAAATGGCCAGACAAAATGACTTAATTTATAATGTTTCTACCTCTTCCAACAAGGAAGTGGACAGTAGTTCTTAACGAAACACTTGATTGATGCTGTTTGACACTAAAGGAGCGCATTTTCCCCCATATTCTTCTAGTTATACTTGGAATATTAAACCAGAGCAGACTCTTTTTTTAAAATCCTATCGTGTTGCCTTGATACTGGCTTTATATATGTATGTGTCAATTTAAGCTGTAGCTAGAGGAGCGATGTTAGGCAAGTGGGGGGGGACCTGAGGACACTGGTTTGCCTGGCCATACTATAGTTAAGCACACACTGTATTGTAACGTTATGCAAGCCTCTGTGACACACCCTTCATTTGATCTTCAAAACATTACTGGTTCCACAGAATTAAAGGTATTTTTATTTGCTTTTTTTCTCATTGCAGCGGAGTGGCCAAAGACCATGACAGGTCTCCCAAGCACGTCAGGAACTACTGCCAGTGTGGTAATTATCCGCGGGTCAAAGATGTATGTTGCTCATGTTGGCGATTCAGGAGTGGTGCTGGGAGTCCAGGATGACCCCAAAGATGACTTTGTGAGAGCTGTGGAGGTGACGCAGGACCACAAGCCGGAACTTCCCAAAGAAAGGGAGAGAATTGAAGGCCTTGGGGGCAGGTAACTGTCTCCCTGCTTTTTATTTCGGTTTTGATCTCTGGGTGCTATTTGTGTGTATCTTACTGAACTAGGCTTAAGCTTGCTTGTTTTGGGGGAGGCAAGCAAGCTGGTGAATCTCATAGTCTATTTATATTCCTTCCCTATCTGTGCTCTGTGGTTTTTGTTTTTTTTTTCTCTAGCTTGTTGGGAAATAGGTTATAGTGATCCATTGTTACACTTTTGTGCTTTTTGCTAGTGGCTTACGGTATAAACAAAACTTTAATTTCCTGGTGGATCATGCAGCTGAGGTGTGGTTACAATTCTAAAGGTTCACTGAAAACTTTGAAAGTGGAGATACTGATATTTGACCTATTTTTCATTAAATTCTGAGGAATCTGGGGGGAAGGGGGAAGCAGTTGCTTTTCCATATAGATAATGATACGAGCTCTGGAATATCTGGTTTGTCAAGTTGTGGAAACACAGCAGTTTTGACACAAAACTCTAATTTTTCCTGCATTCTACATTGTTCCTGAGGTTACAATAGCAGCTGTTGAGTAGGTTCTTCAAAGCTTCTGTTTAAGGAACATAAAAAAAAATCTTAGATTTGAAACAGGATACTATTTGCTGTGTTTAAATATATGCTTAAAATGTTAGAATACCACATTTTAATGCTTATCTTTACATTACTAATTTCTTCACTGTCAGGAGCTGGCAGATGTTAGAACATCTCCGAGTTGTGGTTGATGCGTGTTCCCTGTGACCGAGGAGGAAAACAGGCAGGTTTGTCAGATGGCACTAATGTTTTGAGACAAACCTCAGGGCTCCCATTTGGCGTAGCTTCACAGGAGCTCTCTGTTCTTGCGTTCTGCAGTACTGCACCAGATGGATGGGCACAGTTTCCTTCTCTTAGCAGTTCAGAGGCAGAGATCACTGAAGGTTTTCCTGTTGACATAATTCATACGAGAACCCTGTCAGCTCATTAACCTTCAGATATTTGTATCTCTAGCAGGTGGAAGTTGATCAGTTAGCTGTATTGGTAGCTTTTCAGAAAGGGTAATTTGCAGCTTTGCTAGGTTAGTACTTGTAAATGTATAGGTTTCCAAGTCATGTATCTCAGAGGTTGAAAGTTTCTGAAGCTTCAAAGAAGCATTCCCCGGAACATTTCCTATCAACAGGAATAGCTAATTTTTTTTAAAAAAAATCTTTATTTTTATTGGCGCTCTTCTGTTTCTCCCAGGCTGGCTGTTGCAGGCTATTGTGAGGCAAATGGTAGGAGTGAGGTGGAACTATGCAGCTATGCTTATTAATGTCTTCTCTTTAATGAGACTGAATTGGGAGAAGTTAATGGGAGAGCATAATTGAATCTTTCATTAAAAATGGTATTTTCCTAGTAACAGTCTCCAAGTGTGGGATGAGGTTGTCTTTCCGATAATGACTGAAGTTAGCTTTCTGTGGTCATTAGTTGTACAAGTGGAAGAGATTGATTTGTAGGATGTGGTGTTTGTGACTTTGCCACACTGTGCATGCGAAAGGATGAAGCTAAACATGCTCTTGTTGTTAAGGCCTTTGAAGTCTCAGGAAATGCATCTTGAATAACTTCAGTATGAGGAATCTTGAGGCTATTCCAGAGCTTCTCAGTTTCTAATTACTAATGGCTGTTCCTTGGATAAAAGCTAGCTTTTAAGTATCTAGTTCTTAACTTGATGGGGACTAAGCTTTGCTAGTTCCTTATTCCATTACCTTTTCTTCCTTGATGGCTCATACTTTGTCTGTTCTTTCTTCCCATCGTCCCCTGCCTGATAACAGCTGCCCCATTTACTTGCTCTGTAGCTTCTCCTTTGACCCTTCTAATGCTGTCTGTGAGAACTAAAACTAGTGCTCAGTGCCCTTAGAGCAGGTGTTAACATTCAAATGCAGAGCTGTTTCTTCCTATCTCCTGCTTTCAGCAGATAGCAACTATGAACAATTCCTCTTTTATTTCTGCCTCGTGTTGGTGCACCATTAAGGAAATCCCTACAGAAGGCTGCTCCTTTCTCTTTTGTTTTTTTCAACTGTACTGTGCTGCTCTTTACTGCCAAACTTCAGCAGATGGAGAAAACTGAAGGAGGAGCTAGATGGTATTTCCACCTGAGTGAGTTGATGGTCCGCATCTGAGGAAACCAAATTCAGTTCCGCTTTTTCTTTGGCAGATTAAAAAGATACTCTTACATCTGGTTGTTGGAGCCAGCCAGAATTTCTTCCAGGTCTTCATTCCCCTGCTTTTTCTTTTCTTCTGCCCTTCATCTCTCACTTTTGCCTTTGGCTTAATATGGAATGAAACTATCTAAGTGATACCATGTGTTTTGAAATATTTAATTGTGCTGTGGACTTCCCTGAGGATGCTGTCATTATTGACTCCACATTTGCGTATTTAACTGGTTTTGTGTCACTGAAACTTTCATGCTTTCATTTCCACGCCTTTTTAACCCATGCCTCTTTTTGATGGTTTTAGTGTGATCAACAAGTCTGGTGTGAATCGTGTTGTTTGGAAGAGACCTCGTCTGACTCACAACGGCCCTGTACGCCGCAGCACCGTCATTGACCAGATTCCGTTCCTGGCAGTTGCTAGAGCGCTTGGTAAGTCATGCACATGTTTGGAAAATGAAACACCACTGCATACAGGCCACCAGAACTGAATTATACCTTGTTTTGTCAAAATACAGTTTAAGAGGATATTATCTATGAGTTTTACTCATGATTTTTACTTGCTTGCCTTGATTACAAGACCTTCTGAAAGTCTGGGTCTTTTAAAAGTTTTTCTAATACAATGTGGATTTCGTTTTTCAAATAAAGCTGTAGAAGGTGTCACTGGTGAGTGAAGGACTTGCCCTACAACATGCAAGATTTTCAATGTCAATCTTGCAAGGATGGTTCTTCATTTCTGTTTCAAATGAAAATGTACAAAGCAGTATGTGTCTCCAAGATGGCGAGCACATTTGTCTTTTTCTTACTGAAATAATAGGACTAATTTTTGACTCGGTGGTGGTAACAGTAAGTTTTGCTGTACACAGATACGAATAAAATGCGAATTACTTTGGTCTTCCTTTTGTGGTGAATCTGTTCTTTCAAGACTTAGCATAGAATGAACAAAGGGATGAAAGTCAAGTTTGTGTTTTATCTATAACTTGCCTTTGTGAGAGTATTAGTAATGGGAAACTATTTTTGAGGAACTTTTATTCAAAGGACTAAAAGGCATGTTACAGTACCTAGCAAACTTGTTATGAATGGTTTTTAGGAAGTACTTCATAACTTAATCTTTGGATAGCTTTTGCCCATGAGTGTTAGTGTTTTCTGGTCAGGTGTTTTTCCTTAAATTTAATTGCAGAATTCTGATCTTCTGCAGTTCATTTTGTTTCCTTCCTTTCCTCCCTTTGCCCCAGTGAGGAATTCTCTATCCAGGTATAGCCAGTATAGGTTTGATTTTTATGGAAATGTGGTATCATGTTTTTACCTGTGAAAACTGTTCTGTGACTCAGTTTCTTCTTGGCAAACTTGACAGTTCCGTGATAGTGTTGTCAGCATTCCTAGATCAGCTGGCCGTGTGTCATGGGAACAGTCTGTTCCTGGGACCATGGTCGTCTTGATAATTGCATAGCATTACTGTGTCTTATTTCAAAGGCAGTGATACCTGTTTTGCATGGATTTGTCCAGTGTTAAGAACAACTTTGCAGTGACAACCACCATTGTAAAAGATGGCTATGTATCAAGGAAGGAGTCACAGGTAGCTGAACAGTGATCTTCTAATAAAAATAAAATTCTAATTTTATGGATGTTTTTCCTCTATCTTAAAAGTCTTTATTATGTGTCATATCTTAGGCAAGATAGATGCTTATTTTATGGTTAGTAAAACTGACTCGAGGGTTTGAGTAAATCCTTCAGAGTTAATAGATGACTAGCAAACGGAGATCTTCATCCACTGAGCAACGCACCCCTCTTCTCCCATTTTCTCCAGAAGGGTACCTGTTCCTCATAGATTACAAAAGGTGTACGCTTAACTTTCATGAATCTGTCGTTCCTTTGATTGTGAGTTTGTTTGTCTAAATAGCTCAATGACTTTTGATCCGCTTCCTCTCAGCAAGTTGAACAAAAGGATTTGGCTGGGTTTTGTGTGCAGATGGGAATTGAAGGAATGATGCATCTGTTAGCCCCCTATTGCATTCTTTCCCGTAATGTGGATGAAGAGGATTACTGGAGTTTCAGGTCCAAGAAATGAGAATGCCTATCTTTTAAGAATTCTTGGTTCCAAAAGTTAGCAGATTTGAAAGCTTAAAAGAGGGCTTTGGCATCTTCAAATCATGGAGAATGTGACAGGGTTTTGGTGTTTGCCTGCCCAGGCAGCCTCTGTAGCCTCTTCACATCCCCTTTGGAGAAGGTATGACAAACCTCCTGGAAAAAGGAACGCAGCTGCTTCGCTCTGTGGGACCCAGATGGTGCACAGACGCTCACAGTTTGGAAACAGGATTTAACTTCTTTCTGAGGCCAGCATGCCCCTTACGCTGCTTACAAAAGACCTACCACGACTAAAGCCATTTGCATTCGTGCTGTTGAGGCCTGCTCGACCTCTTGGCTGGCTCCCAGATTGCTACCCTGGTTGGCACAGCACTGCTGCCTTGGAGCCTCTCCAGGCAGAGTAATAACTGTCAGTGTTGACATGCACTGCTTACCAATACTCTAGTCAGTCCCACTATGGTCTAGCACAGTGATTCTTTTTCCTAAGTCCAGACTCGGTTGTTACTCTTGATAGAAATCCCATACAGATCCCGGACTGGACAATAATTGGACAATAATTTTTAGTAGGAGAGCAAGAGTCTCTTGACACTCTGCTCTGCACTGTGGAGAGATCCCTAGAGTTGCGAATTTACTATCTTTAAAGTGGGAAGATTATCTGATTAAAACCCCTAAAATTTAGAACATAGGTGGTTTTAAGTTTGTCTTTCTCTTGCAACACTTTAAAATATTTTGATGTAGTCTCCTCCCTCATTCAGTTCTCATTGTAAGGAGTACAGGTTTTAGAAATAGCAGGAATAAAACACTGTGTAGAAGTATTGCATTCATCAAATATTTGGACAGCAGAAAGAATACTCATGCAATGGAAGTCCTTCTGGCCAGATTGATTCTGTTGACATTCCTTTTACCGTTCTGATTGCCTACAGTGCCTTTCTGCCCTAAAGTAAGCGTTTGTGGTATGCACTTATTACCACTGCTTCTCATGACAGTAGTGGCTGCATTTAAGTAATGTTTAATTTATAGCCCCATAACAATTCAGAAATATTTAGGCTTCATACTGTCTCTGTAAAGTATCTATATGCTGCTTTTACTGTATACAGGTTTTCAAGTCTTCTAACGAAATATTTTAAACTGTAGCAGAGTATTCTGCATTTTAAGCATAGCCACTTCTGCTAACCTTTTCTGGGCAATGAAAACATCTTTTTTTATGCCAGTTTGCCTTGTAATAGATACTTACGAATCCTGTGCAATCTCGGAGTTGTTCACCTCAGGACTTGCTGCCCATTCTGGTCAGAAGACCATTTTGTTTCCTTAGAGTGTAGTCATTTTACTAAGTTTCCTGGCACCCATAGTTTCATAGTAATTGTCCATTTTATATGCCTGTCCCTAAAAGAGGTGTGGGGTAACTCAAATTACTTGAATCCCCTTGCATAAGGCAAGGCTATGAGTGTGCAAATTGCTGGATACCGTAGAGTAGATGCTCAGGGGCAACAAGCCGTGGTGTAACTTGTGTGTTTTTGAAGAGTCCATGTGTGTCACTGCATCAGCTATTAGTTATTGTCTCCCTGTGGAGACCATAACTCCCTGTAGCACTTGGGAAGGCATTGTAGACTCTTGTGAGCACGCTTACGTGTGCGTGTCTTGAGGGAAGAATGATGGGAAGGGAAATAACCTGCTCTCTGTATGTATAACATAACAGCCAGATACATGCTAGCGGAAAGGTTACATTTAGGCTAACATCTGTCCAAATACATTAATTTAGACCTGTTTCTGGGATGGTAAGCACAAAGATGTCAGTGTACAAGATGATAAGTGTTTTGATCCCATGTGTTGAACCCATTGTGGAAACAGAGTTTTGATCTTTGGAAGCCAATTTTGAAGTAAAATCTGGCCATGTGTGTAACTTTCAAAGATGGCATACAAAGTGGGGGAAGTATTGAAAAGCTACAGTCTGAGCTCTGAATATCTTATGGTATAACTGGAAACAAGAACAGAATGTAGAAACAAGTAGACAAATGGTGTGATTAATCACTGAGCTTTGTAGGCTGACTGTAAGTGTAACTGAAACTCATTGTAGTTTTCTTCAGTTGCTATTTAAGTTCGTATTCCCAGCCTGATCAAGTAGACAGGTAATGCGTGGTGTGATGGCAGAGATTGTTTTTTTGAATCATATGGGATCTCTCTTCTTGGTAAATTAGTTCAGGCCTAAATCCAGTAAATCTTTTATGGACTTTTTTCCCTCCTCCTCCCTTTTTCTTGGGAACTAACATAGAGCCAAGAACTGCAGCTGGCAAGAGGGTTATGAGGTAAGGGATTGTCTCTCAGAATTGCAGCTGAGCGGTGGTGTTAAATTAATGAATGATGAAACCTGAGCTAAGAACCTGTTAGTTAAACCACTCATTGCTGTGGCAACATGAAGTATCTTTCCCCTGGTTTTTTTGGTAGAAATATAATGGACTCACCCCTATATTTTAGGTGGAGTGGCTTCCACCATTCTGGTTTGACTTTTCATAAGAA